TACTGGACAATCATTTCAGACAGCTTCATCTTGCATCGACAGTTAATCCTGTTGGATGGAGTTTGTTCTATGTGGAGATATGCCGACATTACCCTGGATACCATAGCTCTTGATTCACCACAAAGATTTGCTGTCCTGGTCACAGATGAGCCAGTGAGAATTTGTCCTTTTTTGAACTCGGATATGTCTCCCATAATGTTGTGTGTATTGCAATATTTTATGTGCAGCTGTACTATTGCTCTGCTAAGTCAACCTTCACTCTGATGTATAAAATTAGTGAAGATTGGCCACCAGGCCGTGCTTAAATAGTTGTGAAACCTCCAACACTACAGGTAAAACTCGTAAAATTAGAATGTGGTGCAAAAGTTCATTTATTTCAGTAATTCAACTTAAAGGTGAAACTAATATATTATATAGACTCATTACATGCAAAGTGAGACATTTCAAGCCTTTATTTGTTATAATTTTGATGATTATGGCTTACAGATATGAAAACTTTTCACAATATTCTAATTTTGAATTTGGGGTTTTCATAAGCTGTAAGCCATAATCATCAAAATTATAACAAATAAAGGCTTGAAATATCTCACTTTGCATGTAATGAGTCTATATATTAGTTTCACCTTTAAGTTGAATTACTGAAATAAATAAACTTTTGCACCATATTCTAATTTTACGAGTTTCACCTGTATATTGGCCAGTGTTTCAGTATCATTGTTCAACCCGTGTAGTGCAAGTAATTTCAGGCTGACCAATACTTTTCCAGGATAAATAAATAAATAAAAAAGTATACCAAAGTGCTGATAGGATCCACTGGATGGCAGTAGCGACACCTCACAGATAACAGTTCCTACAACCAAATTTTCACCCTGAACATACAGAGATTGTGGGAGGCAAGTGTGGGTGTTTACAAAAATAAGCAATACAAAATAAACCATTATTAGCCAGAAGCCGGTCACCACATGCTAAACAGGTCATTGCTATGAGGCAGAACACGGTTAATCAACTTAGCCACGTGTGAGCATGTCACATTTCGGCCATGTGCATGTATGCTAATCATAACATTAGGCTTATAATATCAGACCATAACATTGTGTTATTATGCACTTTGTGCACGTCAGTTGAAGCACTTTCTTTTTGTCCTGTTTATGATTTTGGTAACAATTTACAATAAGGTTCCATTAGTTAACGAAAAAAGGAAATTCTTTTATTAATTACTCTCCCTCATAATGACAATGAGATTTGTTGTCCTGTGTTGTGTAGCTTGTTTGAGCTTCAGCAAGAACCAATGAGGTTCATTATCATGTGTTACGCAGAACGTTTGAGCTTCAGCAAGAACCAATGAGGTTCATTCTCGTGTAACGCAGCACGTTTGAGCTTTTTTCTCGTGTGTCAAGCAGGGTTAGGCAGGTACAGTTGAGCTTCTGTTTATGTTCACTTATTCACATATAAACATTGATCAAAGCCTAAATTCAATCTGTTCATCATAAAAAAGCGATCGTGTCGAATATAAAGTGAAAATTTTGACTAAACAGCTCAATTCATATGGATTAATTTTACAATCTCTTTGTGAACTTTTTAAAGCTTTAAAGCAACACTAAAGAAATTTTTTACCTTAAAGGGGTCATATAATGGTACATGCACTTTTTCAAGTTGATTGTACTGAAATGTGTGTTGGCAGTGCCTGTACACAACCATCATATAATGATAAAAATCCATCCAGTGTTTTTGTTTTAATCTCCTTATATGTTTTCCCCTGCCTCAAATTGAGCCGTTCGTTTTTGTGACGTCAATAAAACGGACGCCCCTCCCGCGATTGTTGATTGACAGCAGTGATTCAACACAGACCCGCCCTCGCTCGTCCTGTCAATCATAGTCCGCGCGGATCGGCGCGGTCATTGTTGATATGCTGGAGCACTGTCTATGAGCAGAATGGCGTATAAGCGATTGTGGTGTTCTGTTCTTGGGTGTAATAACGAACACAGCAGTCATTTTAATGTTCCTGAATCCGAACCGCTGAAGACGCAGTGGCTGAGTTTGTTTTCGAAGGGAATATTCCCCACGAGCAACGTCAATGCTTTCATGTTTGCGCGAATCATTTCTCACCAGACTGCTTTATAAACGAGGGTCAGTATAAAGCGGGTTTTGCTAAGAAGCTTCCTGAATAAAGGATCGGTACCAGCTATTTGTGTTCCTGCTGAACCTCTAGAACAACTGAAGTGAGTGTAACGTTTTATGAACCTTTATATTAATATTTATATCTTTGCAAATCGTTTGCACGCTTCACGATGAATGCGTCTAAGGTTTACACTCAGGGTACATTACGGCATGTTTTCTATGTACGACGTTCTCAATATAATTCATAATCCCACGTTTATAATGAACAACGCGTTATGGTTATTGTGTTACATACAAACGTGTACGCACAGAACAGAGAGGCGGAGTGAGCGCAGCTCATTATCATTTAAAGTCATATGCACTGAAACGGCGTGCTGAAAACAGAGCTGTTTTTGACCAGGTAAAATAACTGTTTTCTTACAATACTAATGAGAATTTTTAATTAAAGTATATTACAAACTTTTAATTTAGACCCTAAAGAATCATATTAGCTTGTACAAAAATGGCATTATATGACCCCTTTAAAATAAATGTTTGCAAAATCGTATCAGTGGTTCATCAAGTCGTAACAGGGTGAAAGGCACTTCTGGATTCACTTTGCAGTCCTATAACAGCTATAACCACACTATACAAGTTTGCCAGACCGGGTCGCGTTTCTGTAGTTCTAATGAGACATAAGAAAACTACAAATTTGACTTGCTTTACGTCAAGTGTTATTATTTATAATGTCATTATTTAGTTTTGCTTCGTTTCTGATGTCGCAATACATCACACTTTCATGAAATCATGCAACATACTCTACCTTGTCTGTGGACATCGTTCATTCCAAAGCCGGTGCTAGGTAAACAGCGAGCGTGCGTGCAACACTAGGCTGCGGTAGGTTAAATTATTTACGACAGCGGTAATGGACAATTCCGCTTCCAACCTGTAGGGCGACCGAAGAGGAAAAGTTCTTTAGTGTTGCTTTAAAGTGGTAGTTGCATAACTTCCAATGGAGGGACAGAAATTGCTCAGATTTCATTAAAAATACCTTAATTTGTGTTTTGAAGATGAACGAACGTCTTACGGATTTGGAACAACATGAGGGTGATGAAATTATGACAGCAATGTTTTTAATTTTTGGTTAACTATCCCTTTAACAGTGGGAACTACATTGATATAGTATTTGATAATCTTTGTTAACATTAGTTATTAAAAATACCACTGTTCATTGCTAGTCTGTTAGCTTAGGGTCCATTAAATAATATTAACAGATACTGTATAAGCAAATGTTGAGATTAGCATTAACTGATATTAATAAATACTTTAGAAGTTATTTTTTTCATTGTTAGTTTTTGTTATAGTAGTTAACTAATGTTAACAAATGGAACCATATTTAAGTTAAGTGTTACAATGATTTTTTATTTTATTTGATTAATGTGACTCAAGCTACATTAAAAAAAATCTGATTTTAAAATCTGTGATTGCACATAAAGGGATCTAAAATCAGCATCCGATAAGTGCAAATGAGAATAAAAGTCCTTGCCATTTGGCTGCTAGATTTACAAAAGTCCTGCAAAATAAAACAGTCTAAAATGAATCGTACCTAACCACTTTAATATTTGTGGTGGAAAAATTTACCATCAAACATTTATCTAGGTTGCCTTTAGTTTAGTTTTTTTCTCCATAGCTAGATGTGGTGACAGTGACACTGCCATTAATGTGAAATATTCTTCTCATTAAGACACCCAAACAAAAATATGAGGGACAAAATCTGTCCAGGAATTGTGAGATGGTGCCTTTTCACAGGTTATTTTAAGATGAGCTATTCTTTCTCTTAAAAGTATAACTGGTTTTCAGTGGCATTGTATAGGTTGTAATTATACATTAAAGGTGCACAATTTCTTTATGATATGATTTAATTTTTTACATTACAAAAACCAGTTGTTTTAAAGAGGCCATATTATGCCCTTTTACAAAATCTTGATTTTGTTTTCAGGGTCTTCTAGAACAGGTCATGCTAGAGTTTAAACTGTTCAAAAACTTCTCATATTTTGCATTGTTTCAGCACCTCTCTTCTCAGTCTCTCAGTAACGCTCTGTTTAGTTCCGGTCTCTGTGAAGCCCCTCCCTCTGAAAAGCGCTATGTGCTCTGATTAGTCGGCTGGACCAGTGTGTTTTGATTGGTCACCCGCCTCGAACACATTTCGGAAATGCCACGCCCCTTACCATAACCGCAACTTTCAATACACCTCTAATGCAACTCAGAGCCTAGTCCCTTTTTTGAGTATGCCTTGGGTGGAAATTATTTAAATGAGGAATATGACGAGTGTGTTCCTGGAAGAAAATTTAAGACTGCAATAGAGGTGTTCAAGGGAGTTCAGAAACAGTGGTTACTGATTTAGAGAATAACTAAATCCCTTTGGAGTGACTTTTTGCTTTGAAACTTTGCTGACATTTTTTCATGCTCAAACAGCAACATTACACACTAAAGAAAGTTGTTAAGAGTATCATTTTAAAGTAAACTAAAGCCTGTGGTAAACAAAACTTGACTTTACTTTATTTTGTTCTACAACATGATTTACACACATCCATAGCAAAACCGAGAATTTTGAAGCAGTTAAGTTCATTTTTGAAAATGTACATTTGTAATAAGTAACTAGAGAAGACAGATTGGGGTGTGAGTGAGTGCAGTCATCTAGTTATGTTTACCACCGAATTTATTTTACTCATAACTTTAAAAAAAAAACCATTATAAAACCCCATAGGAAAAATTAGAAGGAACCAGCGGTGAATAAGACTTTCGAGTTCTGACGTCATACCTGCACCACTCTGTTATTCAAGTTTCTGTGTTTTTAGATTTAGTATTTAGGTGTAATTGTTTTGGCATTATAATAAACTGACCATTCTTTCTCTCGTGAATAGGAAGCAAGTTGGGGACGGGCTGAAGAGACAGTTCTTGCAGCTCATTGGCTACGGCTTCACTCTGTGGACTGGAGGCGGAGCCTGTAGGAAGAGAAGGGGTCGGGAAACTGGGACTTGAGTCCTCCCCGATAGTCGCCATGGTCAAAAACAGCCCTAAAGGAAAAAAGAGAACAGATTATTAAAAACAATTACATTTAGTCATTCACCGTTAACCTACTTTATCTTAAATTTGCTAGTAGGCTTATGTCCCTTTAAAGGGAACAAACTGTAATTTCTGACAACAGTTTTTCAAAGTATGTACAAGGATATTTTCCAGGAAAAAAGTACAACATTGTGAATATGACCTTTAGTTACAAATCTCGGAATGTGTGTGTGTAGTGAAGAGATAATATGATCTCACTGCAACAGGAAAAACAGTGGTAACACAAACTCTGCAAGCATTTTAAGCAGATGACAAACACCATCACGATGGTAACATGTTATAACACTTCACATGCAGAAAGCAGCATCTTTGCAGTGACAGCTTGCGAAGGTATCAACACTGAGTCAGAAATTCAGCCATGGCCACATCTGCTAATGGGGTTCACTTTTTCCAACCATCAACTTCCAATGTTTGAAATCTTGAAAGATCATTTGAAAATTGAGAGCATGTCTGCTCTGACCTTTACATATTCTGTGTCATGGTGAAATGTCCCGGCAAACCTAGAGCTCAGATTACACATTTTACACTCAATTACAGAACCAGAAAGATGGTTTCATGTGCTGAATGGGACAAGATTTTTATCGTTTAAATGTTCAAAAGCAGAATATTAGAATGTCTTCAACATCTATAACATTTAAAATGTTAAAGAAAAAAAATTAAGATGTCTGCAACATCCATAAGATTTTGAATATTCAAAAAAGAGAATTTTTGAATGTCTGCATTTCTCAGCAACATCTACGTTTGAATTTTAGAATGCCAGAAATATCAAGAACATTAAAAAAAATTGAATTTTAGAATGTCTGCAACATCTTGAACATTGGAATGTTCAAAAACTAAATTTTAGAATGTCTGCATCATCTGGAAGATTTAAATGTTCAAAAGCAGAATTTTAGAATGCCTGCATCATCTGTTGAAAAAAAGCAATGTACGTTTTAAGACCACTGTGGTGGAAAATGAAAATCAAGTTTTTAAATGTTGTTTATATGTGGTGTGTTTTTAATATGCTATATAAAACATGTGCAAATTCGTAAGTCAACACCATTGCTGAGTATTTTTCTTCTTTAAACCTGCAGTGAACTAAAGACCGTCTCAAAACGCAGTTTGAAATCGCTGGTTTCTTCCGTCACAAACTACCTTGTAACTAATCACATCAAGGTGCCGGATGGCTTTAGCATCATTTACATTCTCTGAAGCAGGGGAGTCTAAAGAGAACCGATGAATCCCGGTATATTTTTCTGTTGGGTACAAAGCGGGTGAATTATGTATATGATGTTACAATGTTATGATGAACTATATATGTCTTTCGCCACTTTTTCCAGTTGTTTCTAAGGATTGTTAGAAGGCAACTGTCTGACACTGAGATGGTGAACAGGAACATGTTTTGTGTAACATTAGCAACACATTATTAGCTGTTTGATAACAGTCAAGCTAAAGGCTAATCATATTAATTACTGTTATGTTATGTGTCCGACGTTGTAAAGAGCGTTACCATTGTGCAGCGTTTACTTCAGTTAAGTTGAGCAAGTGAATCTGTGAGCTGGTGTGAGTGAGTGGAGGCGGGGCTAATTTTCATATTCATCGCTCCGCGTATACTAAATGAAGCAAGGTTGTTACATTCAAGCTATTTTAAGACATGAAGACGTTTAAATATGTCATTTTTGGTGCTCAAATATGAGTTTTAGGGGCTCAATTATTGACTACGGGGGATGTATGTTAAAAAAGCACAACATGAGAAAATATGCTTAATGTAATAATGTATAATCAGAATTGTGTACAAAATTTTGGATCGGTCAATGTGGAATGTAGAAAATGTCCTGAATAATTTCTTGTAATTGCTACAGGTAAGATCTGGACAATTTGAAATATTCTACAATGCATCACTGTGTTTTAAACATCCAGAAAGCATTCACATATTTCTCATTTTGAGTGAAATTTCAATGAAAACGCCTCAAGCTCTCCATCACAACTGATCTCAAATTACAAAATCCCCTCTTCAGAAAAAAAGATCATTGCCAGATCCTATCACTTTGCTTTGAATAAAAGGGAAATAACATTGTTAATTCAGCTAGTTTACTGAGAAGTTGCAAGCATCAACAAAGCTGCAAACTCAAGCGAGAGCCATATGAATTAATTTAGTTTATTTAATTGGTAAAGCACAGTTAATAATGGAGCAATATTTATTAAAGTTTTTTTTTATTAGTTTGAGCATAATTAGGTGAAAAAAAAAGTAAAAAAAAATAATGTTTCTGTTCTCATCTAACATGAATCGCAAACAAAAATATCAGTGGATTTCATTGTAGTAAGGCTTTTCACTGAGCTCTTGATGATTTGATGGTGTTATTTGTCCTGTATAATCTGAAAAAGCTACATTAAGAATCTTAAACGGTCTTATTTTGTGGAACAGAAAAAGTCATACGGATCAGACTATCCCTCTACACAAAGGGTTAGCAGAAAACAAAACACTTTGTTGCAGAACAAGAGAATTGGTTTTGATTTGGAGCGTCAGGTGCTTTCAGAAACGCATTTCTCTCCACAGGGTTCGAGTACAGAGAAAAAGAGAGGAGCAGATAACAGCTTATTCATGTGCCGAGTGAGTCACACAAAACACACACACACAGTTCTCATCAGGCCATCTGAGCAAAACAGTGCTGCTGGAATCTATCGCCATGGTGATGAATGATGTCATAACGGGAAAACATGATTGACAGGTGCATTCTGTTTACATCTCAGATTCTCAGCACTGCAGTAAAATTGTTTTGCAAACTCATTTGTTTTCTGTAATATGCTTTTTTCTTCCCTTTTGTTGGTTCACAGAACATTTCTGTGAAGTAATACTAAAAATATGAGTGGGAGTATTTGTGGTAAGAGAAATGTGCTGAGAGCGACTATGAACACAGGGAAGTTTGGAAAAAGGGACGGCAAAACACCAGATGTACTGTTTGCGCCAGACTGTGAATGTATAGAAATTTACATATACATATATAGCACCAAATCAGCCTATTAGAATCATTTCTGAGAGATCATGTTACACTGAAGACTGGAGTAATTATGCCAAAAATTCAGCTTAACCATCACAGGAATACATTGTTTAAAAAGATTCAAATAGAAATAATTTATTTTAAATTATAATAACATTTCTTAATATTACGGTTTTTATGTTATTAAACAAATAAACGCAGCCTTGATGAGCAGGATGGGTGGATGGATGGACTGAGACATCCTGACTCTGACATCCAACACACACTCACGATAATTACACTATACACTTACACAAAATGTTTATGATTTATTGATCTTTATGGGAAACTGATGCTCAACTGCTGGGAACATATTGCACTTACTGACATCACTAATCGTACATCACTTTGAAGATTACTGCTTACCCTACTCAGAAGTTATAGTCTTTCCAATACACTCCCAGCAAAAAGACAGTCCAATTAAAGCCAGTACACAAACAAATTCTGGGGGTTTTGGATACTTTTATGGGTGAGGAGGAATGGAATCAGCATTAGCAAGGTCTTTCCCCCAGGTCTTTGAATTGTAAAACTGTGGTCAAGTTTCTTATTTTGGCTTTCGTGGTCAGGCACATTTGCTTTTATCTGGGCCAGAATGCAAAACACCATTCTCTCTAGTATAAATTATCCCTCTACAAATGCACTTTGGCGTTAATATCGGCTTCAACAGCGGGCAGTTGTATGGTTGTTTCTTCTGTTTACCAAGCTAAACACGTGGGGCATAGACAAGTCAACATTTTAAGACTACACACATCACCAAAAAGATGAGTTCACTGAGTCAGAATATCATGCCGTGTGCCTGGTGTCTCTCCAAAGTGGCAGCTGGCTAATCTATGCCAGGAACAGCCAGGCCAACAGTATCCATGTGGCCCGCAATCCCAACTGACTCTGTCAGTTTTTTGTTTTGTTTTCCCTGAGATGTATCAGATTACAAAAGCAAAATGGGTTGTGCATGGTGTTTCAAGTTGACATTTACTCCTAGGCTATATGAATACAAACTAGGGCTGGGTTCGATTTCGATTCACAAGCTTGTGATTCCATTTATTTCAATACCAATTTCATTTCAATTTAATTCGATATTGATTCATTTGGATGTATATCAGGTACAGTACATGTCAACTTTTCTCAAGGAAATTATTATCTGTCAACTAAAGCCGTAAACTATACAGTCAGGGAACCCTGTCAATTGGTACGTGACTATTAAAGGTTAAAATTAGTTGATTTGTGTAAAAACTTTTAAATTACACAAAAAGGAAGTTTTTTTTATAATAATAACCTTTCAAATTACACAATTATGGTTCTAATCTAAGTCGATTTTTTAAATATAAACATTTAAAGGGTGGCTGTCATAAAAGCTTGTTTTCATGATATTTATTCAAATATGAAATATTGTAGAATATTGTTAATTTTTCTAGCTAACTAGCTGTTTTATTGACATCTCGCCACAGTTGAAATGCTAATTGAGCGATAACACAAGACATGATACGAATTACGGTAAGTTGTACAGTATCTTTTAACATACCTTCTGATGTTCATTCATGTTTATTTCATGCTACTGTGTAAAGCGGAAGAGTTGATCAATTCACATGCCGTTTGAACTATATTAATCTACTACGCCAAATTAAAGAGCGCTGAGTTTCTGAGAAGTGAAGAGAATATCAGGGTTTTGGGAATGGCAGATGCAGAACAGCAGCAAAATAAATAAGAGGAGGTGTGAGGTGGAAAATACCCAGAGGTGTTTATGTGTAGGTGCTTGTGATTCAATTACCTGATTTATTCCCTGTTCAAAAGAGTCCGGACTCGGAGTAATTCCATGTCAGGTGAGACACACCACCAACTACAAGAAAGAGAATAGATCAAGAAAGAGCAAAAGATTAGCTAATAAAAAACATGGTCACACTTTTGTTTGGAGTCCAATTCTCACTATTAACTAACTATTAACTTATTTTTGCCTCAATAAACTCCTAATGGGCTATATGCACGCATAACTTCCGCGTTTGATGCAAGGATGCTCTTGCGTTTCCGGTTGGGGAGATTTAAAGCGGAGGAAAACCGAGGAAACCGGGATTATGGCAGAGTCTTCAAAATGTACTGTCCTCTCGTCTTTGAAACGAAACTTTAATACGTTTGGATGTGATTTTATATATAGTTGTGTTTATTTAATATAATAAACAAAGAAGCATAAACAAAAATGAGGGGTGTCTGTTTTGTCTGTTTTTGTGACTAACGTTTCTTTAGTATAGCAATAGAGTATAAAAACCAATATAAATTCTCGGTATAGCATTGGACTCTATACGATCGGCGGAAGTAATCCAGCATCCTTAAGCCTTCACCGGAAATACCGCCGTGCATAGAGCCCATTACTGCCTGTTAATAGTTAGTAAGGTCGTTTTTAAGTTCAGGGATGTAGAATATGGTCATGCAGAAGGCATTAATATATGCTTTATAAGTACTAATAAACAGCCAATATCCTAGTGATATGCATGCTAACAAGCAACTAGTTAATAATGAGAATTGGGCCCAAAACTAAAGTGTTACCATTACCAAAAACATCTCAGAGATCTGGTTACATTAGGGGTATTAGGTAAAAAGATCATCAGGATTCAATAATAAGGATTTGCCAGTTTTGGGGTTTTTTTTACTCACCATGTCAACATTTTCACTGAATCCACCACAAAAGAATGATTTATTTTAATATATTTTATTTTAATAAATATTTTAGAAATATTCATATTTTTCTTCGCAAGATTTTTCTTTAAACTACATAACAAAAAGCTGGAAATTAGCTAACAGTCATTTTCCACAAAACCCTCATCCGTGTAAGCAAGCTAGATAACATTGCTGTTGCAAATTCTGCTGATTTGTCACAAAGATAATGTGCAATACATAACAGAAAGCAAAATGTTTTGCAAGTTAGCAAAAAATGCTTGTTTGTACAAGTTCAATGAATGCTTGTTTTGTACAAGTTCAATGAATTCAAGATTTTCAGCAGCAACAGTGTTATTTTACTATTATTTATATAATATTATAGCATTAATAATATGTTCATGTTCACTTTGATATTAGTTTAAGTTTTAGTCATTTTTATTAGGTTTTGTTTTATATTTTTATATCAGTTTTAGTCATTTTAGTACTTCAACATCAACTTATTTCAGCTTGTTGCCAAGGCAACATTTCTAGTTAACCTTATAACTATTTTATTTCAGCTTTATTTCAATTACAGAAATTTTTTTTTTTTATAGTTTTAGTTAACAATAACAACATCAACAGGCCTCTCAAACGCGGTAAGCCGTTCAAACCAAAAGGATGATAACTATAATAATAAAGATATAGTTCTAAAAATCAATCTACATTTTAAAGAATAGCAACTATTATAACAACTATAATGATAACTTAATTTTTTTTATAGTTATCATTCTTGATGTAAACAGGCCTTTACACTGGCCCTCGGCCCCTCTCATTGCTGAGCCCTATATACACACACAGTATCAGTATACACACAGTATCAGTATATAGACTGTAGGCCTATATTTTTACTTTTTATAACACATAAGGTTTTGTTGCATAGAAGCATGTTCTGAGTTCAATAAAAGCTCCATCAACAGCATGCCACAGAAAATCATTTTGACTCATCTCTCAGTCAGCACAAAGATTCTTAACACAGACCCACATCCAGACACTAGAATTAAAGCAGTAGCCCATAACCAGAAGTCTATCCACATAGAACAGCAGTACCACAACTAAAAGGACAAATTAGACAATCTTACAGCCCAAATAACACATATTTTAGCAGAAGAATTAATGTGTTTTATCAAAAGTACAAGCTGCACATTTCTGCTGCTGATAAAGATGAACTTCAACATTCCTTGAAACCTGAGCTGCAAGACAAAAGCACAAAAGTAAGAGTGACTAAAAAGAGGGAGGCACAAGAAACATATTACAGAAATAAGTGAGGACTGTTGTTTTTATAATTTTAAGCTGGTGTGTCTCAAAATCTCTATATAGTGTGAATGACGCAGAAGTTGGAGTTCATTTTGTCCCACTTTATTTAGTCACTATGAATCATCAGCTGACCTAGTTGATACACACACAGTGTGTGTGAAGCAGAAGGCATGCCTGTTGATCACAAACTGTGTGGTATAATTGTGTATGTTAAATATCATATATTCATAATGTTTCCAACCTGCAGTTAAAATGCTGATGTGACAAAGAGAGATCAATAAGTCTTTTGCATCATGCAATACACCTCAAGACACTTACAACCCATTTATTTTACTTTTAATTTATTTTATTAATACATTTTTTATTTTTTATTTTAGAAATATATTTATCACAAACCTATTAATTTTAATATATATATATATATATATATATATATTTTTTTTTTTTTAAAGTCAAACATTTTCTTTTATAAATAAAATTCTTTTAGAAATACTCACATACACTGATATTGCACATGGCACGATAATACCATAAATGTCAAAATAAACTACTTGGTATTGTTTGTATTATTTACCATGGTATCTTGTTCAAAAACAAAACATATGGCATAACCATAGTACTTTTGGAACAAAGGCAAAAGAACACACTTTAAAAGCTTCAAATAACATGTTCTAAGAGCTGTCATAATATGCAAACTCACCTAACGACAGATGCATTCAATAAAATAATGAAGACACCATGTCATGATGCACGTTACATAACTTCACAGCATCAGGACCACAAGCACCCTCCTATGCCCACTGTGGTCAAGGTGACCTGTATCCCTTATAATCTTCAGTCATACGCAGGACAACCCCCCAAAAAGATGCTGTCTCACCCAGCAAACATATGGCACGGTATCCTGACAAGCAAACTCAGACCATGTGCTTGCTGTTCCCAACTACACAATGCAACTTCCAGCAAGCTCATGATGCAATATTAAACACCCTGAAAGTAACGTTATTGGAACAAACTAAGGCATAAGTTTAAAAGTTGTCTTACTTTACAATGGGTGATACATCTCATCATCTATTGGTATTCCTCTGGTCTGGACTTCACTAATCGTTTCCGATATCCAGCAAACTTCAACCGGAACCCCGCCCATTTTTGTGATCCATCCAATAGTTGGCGAGTACTTAGAAGACTGGCATCGCAAATAACCAATAGGCTCATTTAAATGACTTCCGTGACAGGGACAAACAAGAGCCATATCTGTAACAAAAAAGGTCGACTGTGTTGAACGATGACCTACTAAACCAATCACATCGCTGCTTACTGTTCTCGGTGGAATCAGAGGGCCAATCGGAATGCTCACCGGTTTAGGGTGGGAGCTCAGCGTTGAGATTTTACCAAATGGTAAAATGAAAGTTAGCTTGTACGTTATTTACAAAATAAAATAAAAAATGTTTATAATGTCTATATACTTTAAAGTGTACAAATATCTCCAATAACATAAAAATATTTTTTTTTTTTTGTGGTCAACAATGGAGGATTCTGCTTTGTCTGTTAGTTTCCAAACAAACAAATCAACAATGATGATCATTTAATTATTTAAAAATACATTAATGAGTCACTAAAATCGTGGGCCTTGGAAAACTCTCTAGTCTGGGAATTTTGAGTTGAAGAACAGCGCAAAAAGAGCGATCTACTGCCTCCTGGTGGCCAATTTACGCAATTTACTGTTTGTCTGTCCCCGTCAATATTGAGGTTTCCCTTGAAAGCAAAACAGTGCATACGACTCCATTTTGTACCACATTAACATTGATTAATTATTTTATTGTAAAAAAATATATTACACAAATTTTATGTGACATCAATTATAAAATCTAAGTAGTCATCAATGCATACAATATCCTAAAGTATTTATAGTTTGAATCATCTGACTGGGTTTGCGATTAATATATGAATCAATGTTAATATTCATTCTGACATTCAAGGGAAAAAAAATCCACATTTTACATTCATAAACATCTGTAACTGTATGCTGACGATTCCACTTACATTTCAGTACAGTGTGGACATCAGCACTGAGACTTTTGAAATGCTTTTACTGTCTAAATGCATTTTAATCTCAGTATGGATTCCCATGAGTCTGTCAAGCATGCACATAAGCCTCAAGTGTCTTGCAGTTTCTGTGTACAAGTGCAACATTCAGAGTTCAGATGTGGTGATTCGGACTCACTAACTGGTTATTCCAGTCCCTTATCAAGAAAGATAAAAATAAGACATTTAAAAGTTCAGGCTGTAGACTTTTTAGGTTAAAGGTCTGTTTCAGTCTCAGTGGCTTGGAGTTGTCAAGTAAAATCAAGTACCACTTAAACATAACCAGAAAAACCAGCCTGGGCAGCGTTTCTCACAAGTATCGTAAGCCTAAATTGATCATAGAGACCATTGGTGGCAATTGTTCTACGATCAATTTAGGCTTAGATGCTGTATATTTTGTCCATTTATAAAACACACATCATTTGACCACTGCTCAACACACGAGTACTCATGTGGGACATCAGTGGGACGTCACTGTGCGTTTGACCCCCATGACCCTGAAGGTGGTGTTGGCAATCTTCTCGTACAGCAAGAACATCAGTGCGGCAGTGAGGACCGTCTGAAGCAGCTTCGCCTCCAGGCCTTTAAACAATCCCAGCATGCCCCACTTCCTGCAGTAAATCAATCAACAAACATGTCAGTTTTACAGGAGGAGTTCAGATATCATAAGATAATAACTTGTGTGAGTGAGCTCAGCTACTAAAAATAAACGGCAGAGTGGAATACGTGTGTGTTATTGCACCTGACTCTATTGATGAGCAGATCCATGACAGATCTCAGGCTATTCAGGAGTTTGGACCGATCTGCAGGCCTGCCATGCTGTCCGAACTGAACACAGAGGAACAGGACAGTTTAAATAGACCATATTATCAGTACACAAACAAAATAAAAAGTTTAGAAGAGGTGTGGATTCCTAATGTCTAACAGTGGTTCTGAACTGGTGGGCCGCAGGTCTGTTCTGATAGGGACAGCAGAGAATAATAATGCTAAATGATTAAAAGCAAATTAAACTAAACATATAACCGTGGATAGTTACGAGAGCTACATAAATTCACTCTTAAAAGGGAGGAGAAAATGCTTCCCTCAACTATCTTTTGTTGTTGACATCAGTGGTCACGTCCAATCAAACTGTACAGTATTTTGATATATATATAGAGACTTTTTTTTAACACTTTTGATCACAGGAATAAATTAAAAACTATATGTGTGTGTGTGTCTATATATAGACACACACACACATATAGTTTTTAATTTATTCCTGTGATCAAAGCTGTATTTTCAGCATCATTACTCCAGTCTTCAGTGTCACATGATCCTTCAGAAATCATTCTAATATCATGATTTGCTGCTCTAGAAACATTACTTATTATTATCAATGTTGAAAACAGTTCATTTTTTTTGTTTAAAACGTGATTTTTTTTAGTGAATAGAATTTTTTTAACACTTTACAATAAGGTTTCACTAGTTAACTACATGTACTAATAATGAACTGCACTTCTACAGTAATTATTAATCTTTGTTAATGTTATTTTCAACATTTACTAATACATTATTAAAATCAAAAGTTGTATTTGTGAACATTAGTAGATGCACTGTGAACTAACATGAACAAACAATGAACAGCTTGATTTGTAATAACTAAACATTAACAAAAATTTACAAATGCAGAAAGAAATGCATTGCTCATTGTTTGTTCATATTACTTAATACATTAACTAATGTAAAAATTTAACATTATAGAAAAGTGTTATAGAAATTTCTTAAGAACAGCAATTTTTTGTAACAATATAAAATCTATTTAATACATCATTGCTGAATAAAAGTATTTGTCATATGGATGGACTACATCCCTGTGACCCTAATTAGGACAAGAATTTTAGAGAATGGATATCTTTAAAAAAAAAGAAAATTTCTTTTGAAAAAGTATGAATTCATTTCAAAATGTTTTTCTTAGTGACCCCAAACCTTTGAATGTATATGAGACCTGCTTGGTTAAATATAATCCAAATGTACTCTGGTCTTACCCGTAGAACAGACTGAACTGTCTGTAGTGGGTAGGTTATGGTGGTTGCTATGGCTTTAGCAATGGCTCCAATAAGAAACACCTCCACCGAGGACAGCTATCAACAATCAGATAGTGAAACATATCAATTAAAGGGATAGTTCACCCTAAAATGAAAATCAATCATTTCAATCACAATTGAACACATTGCAAACCCATTTAGAGTCACCCTGTCAACACAGAGGAAACAGCATATTTAAAGGGATAGTTCACCCAAAAATGAAAATTCTGTCAGTAATTACTCACCCTCGTGTTGTTCCAACCCCATAAGACTTTCGTTCATCTTCGGAACACAAATTAAGATATTTTTGATTAAATCTGAGAGCTGGCTCACTCCTCCATAGGCTGTCTCCCGCATGCGTCGTGGCGCTCTCGTGAACTCACGTCAGAGGCCCACACAGGAGAAAATGAATAGTTGAATAAAGTTGTTATTTTTGTTTGTTTTCTGCGCACAAAAAGTATTCTCGTCGCTTGATAAACTTAAGATTGAGCCACTGTAGTCACTCGGACTATTTTAACGATGTCTTTCATAACTTTTGGGCCGGTCAGTTTCGATCCCTTAAGAAGCCTATGGAGGAGTGATCCAGCTCTCAGATTTAATAAAAAATAACTTAATTTGTGTTTTGAAGCTGAACGAAGGTCTTACGGGGTTGGAACAACAACGTGAGTAATTACTGACAGAATTTTCATTTTTGGGTGAACTATCCCTTTAAATTTAAACGAAAAAGCACGATTTGGAAACTGAATGTTCTGTGACATGATGCCTGTTTGCTTAATCGTATTGCTATATCACTATGGTATCAATACACTATCTGTGGAGTGGTTCACTCATCCTCGACAGATGCTCCCTCATGAGTGCTGATCTGAATGGGCAGATCCACTCTAACATTTCTAATCATCATTTACACATTCTACAATATCAGAAATGCTGCGGTTACTGTTTCCCAGCCAACAGAGATCTTGTGAACAGACTCATCTGTTTATTCGTGTGCCGTCATAATTGGGTCTGCTGAGAAAAACCTCTAAATGAAGATAATCCATTACTGCACTGTCCTTTATATTGTAAAAGTTTCAGACTATGAACTTTAGAACATTATAAAAGAAGTCCCCAGAAGACTGTTTTTGTATCAGTAGTCTAACCTCTCTGTTCACGCCCCTCAGGAGATGCCTTTTCAGACCCTCGTAGATCATGAACTGCACAGCTGGATTGAGCACCAGCAGCAGGGAGGGAAACGTCCCGTTCCATAACGCTCCCACTCCTTCCTGCTGCATGATCTGTACAAACGCATCTGAAGAGAGACAGGTCAACTAATAATGATATCACACATTTTAATTAAAGGGAATGAAATTAGTATCATGTCTGATATATTTTACCCATAATTCCTCTGTAGTGTGTGGGCTGTATGTCCTCATTTCTGAATTTCGCACCCTGCAGTTTCAGTCTGGTATTGACTACCCAGAGTGGAGTGGTCACAAGAACATTCACTACACCTAAAGGCAGACAGTTAGCTTCATTTTAGTCCTAGCACAAGCTACAGTACATGCATATAGTAGAAGATGAGGAAACATGAAAAATAATCTATATATATATATATATATATATATATATAATATATAATACCATTGCCAACAATAATTTAAACACTACGGGCCTAAAGTTTGGAATAAATAAGATGTTTTTATGTTTTAGAAAGAAGTCTCTAATGCTCACCAAGGCAGCATTTATTTGATCATAAATACAATAAAAACAGTAATATTGTGAAATATTATTGCAATTTAAAAGAACTGTTTATTCCTGTGATGGTAAAGCTGAATTTTCAGCATCATTATGCCAGTCTTCAGTGTCACATGATCCTTCAGAAATCATTCTAATATGATGATTTGGTGTTCAAGAAACATTTCTGATTATTCTCAATGTTGAAAACAGTTGTGCTGCTTAATATTTTGTGTAAACCATGATAAACTACCACTACTTTTATTTATTAAGGATGCATTAAATAGATTAAAAGTGACATGTTATTAACGGTTTCTATTTAAAATAAATGCTGTTCTTTGTATTAAATGTTAAAATAAAATATATTCAAACAAAAGTCAATCAAACATTTATTCATTTTAAATGATAATAATATTTCATAATATTACTGTTTTTACTGTAATTATGATCAAATATCATGGGGCATTTGTGGCCTAATGGTTAGAGAGTCAGACCTCTTGTAATGTAAAGGGAAATTGAGCTTTCCTGCAAATTTATGAGAAGCACATACAGTACATTTTCAAATAAGCAAACCTGCTGCAACACCAATGACGAGGTCTCGCCCTGGCGTTGACCTCTGACCTTGCAGCCAGGTGGCCTTCAGACTATGGAAACAATAGAAGTAGACGAAGTTTGAGCAACAGAGGCTGCAGATTACAGGAAACCAGCCTCTATATGGAGCTAACCTGGGGAGAGAGAGAGATTAAAAAAAGACTGGTTATTGGTTATGCTTGCAACTTGAAATAAAATGAAAAAGACCTTCAGATGATGCCACAAATGATGATGCCACATGCATTGATTTGATGCATGTGAAATAACTTACAGACCCTCTTCCTTGATGATCTCTGACAGAATGGCTGGAGTAGATTTGGCTTTCCGTTTTTCATCAACTGCACAGAAACAGAAAAAAATGTGGTCACATATTTTAAAACACAGAAACCAGAAGATAAAGGGGCAAAAAGGAAATCAAAAATCAATGTGTTTCACTGTTTACCTTGCAGCCGAAGCCGAGCTGTATCAAGAGGAAAGAAAACAGTCATTGCTGTAACACTGCCCTGCAAACAAATGACTTATATCAAAAACATGATATAGATCAGTGCAACATTAGATTTGTTTGTGTCACATTTAATATGCTGACTTTAAAGGTTCAAAGCATTTTATGAAGACTTATTGATTTTTCCTTGAATTGTTTTTAATGCTGTCATGCAGCAGGTGGACGTCAGCAAAGCGGATCAAAATGTATGATAACTACACATGTCATCATTCAAAAAGCCGTAAACGAGATCATATAAAAACCATACAGATGTGACGTGATCATGTAAAGCTGAGTTTTACCCATAGACTGTAAAAAATATGGAGTTTTACCATCGCACCGGCGACTGCATGCACGAGACTCTCGTATGAAAACACATCCAGAAGTTTCAGATCTTTAGATCCCATCCTCGCAAACTGGAAAATGCAACTGCAAAGTGACTTTTTTCCTAATTTATTTAGATTACAAACCAATTATATGGTTTCTGAGTTCAGAATTCGGAATGATACACAGCTCCAAGAGAGATTTCCCTGTCAACATCAAACTGAACTGATCAACTTCCGGGTCCGTTTGAATTCCTCAACGATGATTGGACAAAAGTTGTCTTGACCTCGCGTTGTGTAGCCAATCAGTAACGGAAACCACTCCCACATGTTTGAATAAAAGGGAACTGTAAGCGATTTTTTATTATTATGCTGAATAGACACTTTCTATGGGAAATATGACAAATAGAAATAATAACCTTCTCATATATGATTAAATGGGTTTCTTTTTCAAATATTTCTAAAACAGTCATGCAAATACTCATATTGACATTCTATATAGCAATATACTTTATGAAGTTCATTTTAAAGCAGCTGACAATATATTTGGATCATGTGACAGTGAAGCCTGGAGTAATGACTGATTAAAATTCAGTTTTGTATCACAGAAATAAATTATATATTAAATATATTCAAATAGAAAACCCTTATTTAAAATTGTAATAATATTTCACAATGTTGGACTACCTTTATTTCTGTATTTTTATTAAACAAATGCTGGCTTGATGAGTACAAGAGACTTTTTTTTTAAAAACAGAAGAATATATATATATAGATCTGGATATTTTGAAATGCAACCACACAGCTCAGATACAGTAATCTTTGTGACTTTGCACACAGGTGCTCAGATGTTGTCAGTTTAATCTACTCTGTTACTCAGATTGAAATCTAGCTTCCACTCTCAAGGCTGGAGGAGCATTTTTCATTGAAATAAAAAAGTACCTGCCAAACTCTATTCCTGACTAACATGTTAAACGAGTCCTCATGCCTCAATGGAAGAAACGCTTGTTGAGTGAAGTGATTGCATCCTTTAACAAGACCAGCCCTCTAACTAAACTCGATACCTGTGTGGAATACTTGACATATCTTCCACAACCAACTCAGCATATGAAACCGGCAGATTTCCTCGTCTCATGCAAGTGTGGAGGTGCTGATCGGTGCATGTATTACATAAACAGGTTTAACACTATCAACTTTACCAACTGAGGTAAGTCCCTGTCTCGTTTCTTGATGTTAAATATGATGATCTAGAATAAACAGAGTAAATCTACACTTTTCATAAAAAATAGATCAGAGACTTTTTTTTTTCTTGTTTTAAGCATAAATCTAAGGAAAGTTAGATAGGTTTATGCTTAAAACAAGTAAAAGACAAGCTAACAAGATAAGAAAAATAAACTCTTAATATCTTAAAATATCTTATCTTTAAATGTAAGAATATTTTTACTGAAAAACAGGAAAAAAAAAATGAATAAGATAATGGTATTCTGCAGCATGATACTTGAAATTCTCTTCTTTTTACATCAGAAAATTACACTTCAGGATAAGATGGACAGTAAGAAAGCAGATGAAGATTTAGACGAGTCTGAGGAAGATGGGATTGACTTTGAGGAAGATGAGAATGATTCAGCATTGGACTCATCAACGGGCTGTGAGTCGCGGAGTTAAACGTTTACAACATCTCATGACATCCCAAAAAGTCAAATTATTAAGCTATAGTAACAATTCCATACAATATTCCAACAGTCAATGACTATCAACTTTAAGATCAGGGAGATCAATGTCTATTATTTTAAAAAAGTGAAGATTACATAGAAAATAGTCTGTCAACACAATGTGTTTTGTGTGTGAATACTTAAACAATAACAGAATTTTATTCACAGATGCAACATCTGACAAACTGTATGAAAACGTGCAGAACGTAGAGGAAACCAGTTTAACTGCATCAATAGACTTACAAGGTAAGACATTTTATGATTTTCACATTTTAAACTTGTTTATAATCAGTTAAAAAACATAATGTAGTGTCAACCGGATGCACTACTGAAGTTATTTTGATTAAATATTATGATGGCACATGAATTTTAAAAAATAATACTAAATAATGGCATTCATGGATAAACCATTTATAATAAATGCTGCATTTTTCCCCATAAAAAGTTAGAAATTTTGATTTCATGGTGACTTGGAGAAATCATCTTCGAGAGATTATGAGGGTTAAGCAGTTATATTAAACTCTTATATTGTATGATTGAAACCTTGGTATTTCATGATTTTGGCAGAGGAATTGCGCATCATGTTACTGGGGGCGAGGGGGTCTGGAAAAAGCTCAACTGGAAACACCATCCTCAGGTACAGTGCTTTTAAATCAGACATGCAACTGAGCAGAGTCACCCAGTTCTGTGAAAGAGCATCTGGAAACATCAGCGGCCGGCCCGTGGCCATAATCGACACGCCGGGACTGAACAGGATAGGCCACACAGAGAAGGGAGTGACCCGAGAGATCCTGAAGTCCACCTCTCTCTATACTCCAGGACCACACGTGTTTCTGCTGGTTATGCCTGTTGGGAACTTAAGTAATGATGACAAAAGCATGCATAAGCTGATTGAGGGCATGTTTGGGGAGAGCATATGGACTTACACCATCATTGTGTTCACTCACGGCGATCGTCTGGAGGGGAAGACGGCGAATGATGTTATCGCATGCTCGGACAAGGACTTACGCAGTTTCATCCATAAGTGCAGCGGTGGGTTTCTGTTTTTCAATAACAAGGAGACGACAAACTATGAGCCCGTGACAGAACTCCTAAAAAAAGTCGAGACCCTTGTGGCCATCAATGGAAAGAGCTGCTACACAACGTCTTTCTACCCCGCCTCTGAGAGAAAAATCAAGAAGAAAATGGAGAAAGTTTTAGAGCGGAGAAAAGACCAGATTGCACAGAAAGAGAGAGAGCTGATGATACACAGCAAAACTGAGCAGGAGGTGGAGAGAAAAAAGCAGGAACTCTGGAGAATGGAAGAAAATGATGCAAGAAAAATGGCTGAGAATCCAGCCAAACAAAAAATCTCAATCAAACTAGCCAAACGTCACCCAGACCGAAAATCTTCCATTTAGAAACTTGTCCAAATATTTGACAATGCTTGTGTTTTATCGATATTTGTCCGGCTTGCACAGTAAGATAGAAATGGACAGGGCAAATTCTTCTAATGTATTTTTTGTTCGACTGAGTAAAATTATGTTTTTTTTAAATAAAACTTGCCCATATTCAAGTGTTGAATAAAAAAAGAATGCATGAAGCTAGAATAATTTTTTTATTTTATTTTATATAAAGCAGCGGTCTGTTCTTTCTTTTGATATATTGCATGTTCAGATATTCATACAACAAAATATTCTGGGGGCCATGAGATCTTTGTGAAAATGCAATCAAAAATGCTGGTGGTGGTTTGCAACTTAAAAAAAAGAAAAGAAAACTCTGGCAGTGAAAGAGTTAATGACCTTAAAGCGCATATGCAACCTTATTTTGTTCAAAATTAACAACATTTAAATAATAAAGTAAGTAGCTTAATACATTTTTACAGGTATAATTAAGCATTAAAACAACTGAAGGAAATATATATTTGCTAAATAAATTAAACCAATGAATATGATTTATATTCTTTTGGTTTAATATATTAAAAAAATTACAAATGCAATGAAAATAGGTGTCAGTATCGACAAGTAGGCTACCAAAAATGAAAGTATCGGCATCTGCCTATAGTTCTAAAAAGTGGTATAGGACGGTGCATCCCTAACAAGAACTGGGGGATTTGAAATGTTGTAAATGTGATGCAGAGATTGTGAAGAGTTCAGATGCAAAAGCCTCTAAACGCCACCTCCGTCAAAAATGAAATAATGACATTGAGTGAAAGCTATCTGAACACAGTACACGTTCAACAAATATATTTGCTTCAAATCCTCGAAATCTCAGCCTCAGCCCATTCAGAAATATCAGTTTGTCGGCAAAAGCCTCTAGACGCCACTTCAATTTGGCAGCAAAAGCCACTACATCCCGAGAACCAATCAGAAGGCGCGAGCCGCGCGAATCAGTACAGGCTGTTTCAATAGAGCGGTGCGCTGAGGAGACGGTTTTTTGAGACGGCCGAGGAGATTATGGAGCCAGATCAGACTCATTAATAATTCACCCAAAAAACACGATTCACACATGCGTAGACAATTTCACATGCGTGAAACCTAATTCACGTACACACAAAAAAAATTCACGTGCGTGAAAAAAATATATATTCACAAAAAGCAGTTCACATGCGCAAAATAAAATTATATATCCATAAAATACATTTCACAAATGCAAAACACAATTCGTAGATATACAACTGTGCACAAAAACCTTTGAATGTTTAAAATGTACGAGTGTGTCCTTGAATTTGAATGTGCAAATCGTCAATCGCATTGCATGTGTGTGTGTGTGTATTTTTGAGACTTTCCTGGCAGCGCCAGCGCTTCACTCGTAATACAGAGCAGTCGTACTCTTTAACCAATCAGATTTAAGCTCATCAATCGACCAATCAGTATCACGTGAGGGCGGGCCTACCTCCATGTTACGTCATCAGCTTTCGACCAGTTCAAGGCTGAGCAGAGGTAAGTGCAGTTAATAGTTCATTTCGGTGTTAACTGAAGTTAGAGATCAGTTGAAGCAGTAGTTTATGAACTATTAAGCAAGTGTTGTTGTAATCAGATGTCCCATATCGTGTCAAAAATGAAGAAGGATGATGCTTGTTTTGTTGTATTTTAGACAGCTCTCTCAACTACAATCATCACGCTAATGATTGCAAAACAATCATCTGTGGTCAATACCCACCCTAGCTCTCTCAGCACTGGCCTCATCCAGATTGTTCTTATAATAGTGAATAGACCTATTTAATGAGCACCCAGTGTTTATTTGCTATTTGTGTATGTTGTTAAATTATTATTAACACTTGTTTCCCTGTATTTTTCAGGATTACTCACCTTTGGTGTGACATCTGGATAGCAGTCAAACATCTTAATTCATGTTGTTTCTTTATTCTCTTTTATACTTTTTTTTTGTTTTTATGTCTTAATTGGTAACACTTTACTATAACGTTTCATTAGTTAACATGAACTAATAATGAACTGCACGTAAACAGCCTTTAATTATTTTAACTAACGTTAACAAAGATGATCAAACACCGCAACAAATGTATTGCTCATGATTAGTTAATACATTAAGTAAGGTTAACTTAGTTATTGTACCATATTGTAGAGTGTTACCAATATATTCAACATGCATTTCCTTATGTTTTGTGCTGTATTGTCATCTCAAGGATTTTAAATAAGGTTTTTTTATTGTCATCTTATAAGGTCTCACAGGACAATATTGTGAAGCATTAATTTTACTTTGCTTAGTAAAATAGGCAAATCTGATTTTGTGCTGATAAGACAAAGGTACTTATCATAGAGAGGCAATTAAGATTATGCGACTAAGATTACTCAGTAAACTCTATTCAAAAACCATCACTTAATCTCCCACGTCCTCTGCCTGCACCTCTCGTACTATAGGTTTTTACTATTTTAAATATCAGGACAAAATCTGATATGTTCTAACAGAGAGGTCTACTGATGACTGGATTTAACACAATTCATTTGTTCACTTTTCACTTGATGTATTGCACGTATATTTATATACTTTAAAAGCAAAGTAGACTCTGACTGGATCTCACAACTCTGGAAGAGACGTATATTTCTCTGTACTGAATGTTCATGATCTTCATATGTAACAGGAACATTAATCATGATCAAGTCATTTTATATATATATTTTATTCCCAAAGGATTTCGGAAACTTTCAAATTAATAAAACGTGTACATCAAATTGAACTATGTCTTTGAATCTTTTCATTCTGACAAGAACATTTAATAATGCATGCAAGGCTGTATTCCTAGAGCGTGTACATATAGTCCGCAGGAGACAAATGAATACAGTAACAATGCATCACTTTCAACCTCTTGTTGAAACAACTGTCAAAATGGATGGCTTGCAACATGTGACTTTTTTCAAAGATTTACAGTAGGAATGGTAAGATCACAGTACTGGTTGTCTGCAACTTCATACATCATCTGTCTCGGAAATCTGAAACAATAAAACTACATAATATATGCAGTTTAAAACAAAACATGTCTCCTATATATGCATGTCATTACATACATTATCATCAGTTGAATGTGTGGTGGACAGGACATGAAAATCCATCAATACTAAAAATAAATGTTTATGTTCACGTGGACTAAACAGCAGTTAATAAACTATTGCTTCAACTGTTCTCTGACTTCAATTAACACCGAAATGAACGATTAAGTGCACTTACCTCTGCTCAGCCATGAACTGGTCGAAAGCTGATGACGTAACACGCAGGTAGGCCCGCCCTCACGTGATACTGATTGGTCGATTGATGAGCTTAAATCTGATTGGCTAAAGAGTACGACTGCTCTGTATTACGAGTGAAGCGCTGCCAGGAAAGTCTCAAAAATACACACACACATGCAATGCGATTTGTACGTGAATGACGATTTGCACATTCAAATTCAAGGACACACGTACATTTTAAACATTCAAAGGTTTTTGTGCACAGTTGTATATCTACCAATTGTGTTTTGTATTTGTGAAATGTATTTTATGAATATATAATTTTATTTTGCGCATGTGAATTGCTTTTTGTGAATATATTTTTTTTTTCACGCACGTGAATTTTTTTGTGTGTATGTGAATTAGGTTTCACGCATGTGAAATTGTCTACGCATGTGTGAATCATGTTTTTTGCGTGAATTATTAATGAGTCTGATCTGGCTCCATAGGAGATTGTTTTGTTTTTGGATTCAGATTTTTTACAATTTTAAGATGGAGTACGATGAAATGGAGGAGCCTGTCCTACTGACATCAAAAGGCAGAAGAGAACGTCGTTTATCTACCTCAAAACTCTTCCCGTTAATTTACAAGGCAAAAGAAAATCGGTAACTTTACAGCGAAAATAGCTTTGTCGCAAGTGTAGCATGCACTCATAACAGTTCTTGGTGCAGTGCTGTAACTTTGAAGGAATTTGATTTTTATTATACTTGAGATATACATTATAATATTACTTTACATTATTTAAGTCTTATAAGCTTCTTATACAAGTGACGCAGAGATGGTGTTTTTATCACTCAACAGGTGAGTAAGGTATTTTATTGAACAGATAAACTGCCATATGTAGCTCTCCAACAGAGTTCATTGTAGAGCATTATCTATTGTGACGGGTCATTTCATGATGGTTGTTGTAGCTGTGCTGGAATTTAGTACCGTGTCTATTAATGGGTAAAGCTACAGTAACGTCTTCAGCTAATAGCTTGAGACCCTTTCCATATAAACTGGTAATATATCTCTTAGCCTAATAGTGTATGTTTTATGAACAGCAGGATAATCTCTCTCTCTTTTTAGTTATGAAGAACCATATTCATCTGCACAGTCACACAGAGTCGAAGCACAACCAAAACAATGTTCTTCTGCAAAATGCATGAAGTTTGTTTTTTTTAACTGCTAGAGGGCCAAAAATTACATTGTGCACCTTTAAAAAAAGAATGTAGATTAAATAGGCCTACATTTGCTATATAGTTGTTAAAAATTAAAAAAGAATTGAACAGTGTCCTTGAACCACTTTTGGTGTGTATTGTTACCAGAGCTCCTCTGGGCACAAAATTCACATAAAAATAAAATAAAAATAATGATTCTACTCAATTAAGTTATGATGCAACTAAGTTATGATGAATAATAAAGATACATCATATCTTCCCCTTGCAATCTAAATGAATCACTGCAACACAAATCTCCATCACTCCATAAGACATAATACTTGCTATTCAATGTGACAAATTCAAATATCACTATTATTCAATAAAGAAAAATTAGATGTAACCTCAAAAATGTTCCAGTGGAATAAATCTGTATGAAATTTAATTAGCCACATTTTGTTTATACCAAAATATTTTGTTTATTTATGCTATGCTATGGTTACATCATTACATATGTCAAAAAAGGTTCAGTGGGGTTCTATATAGAACCCTAGGGTTCTTGTCTCATTTTTAAAGAATCCTTCATGCCAAAAAGGTTCTATAAGAAGAAATGTCTAAAATGACTGCATCAGTATTTTTTTGGAAGTCCATCAAAGCGCATCACTTCATGATAGAAGTGCTCGAAACTGCTCTGGGGGGTTAATACAGGTCTTATGAAGTGAAGCGATACGTTTGTGTAAGAAAAATATCCATATTTAAAACTTTATTGACTAAAATAACTAGCTTCCGGCAGACGGCCGTACGCAAGTCGACTTCCAACGTCATTGTCAAGTGTTACTCTTTTGGCGTATATGACGTAGGAGTAGCGTAAGCTTCGGCGCTTCTCGCGGTTCAAATTAACAGGCCTGGTCAACCGCATTCGTCATTACGTTGTGCATCAAGTTCAATGTTTATTCTTTTGGCGGCTAGACGAGGCGAGAGAAGAGGATAGAAAAGGATAGATGGCTCCCTCGCGGGCGGCAGCCGCCCCTCTAGCACCCAGGCGGCCGGCAGCGAGTTCGTCCGTCCCCCCGGCAACTCACTCCAGCGCCTCGAGCGTGCATGGCGACGGACTCTGCTCAGCCAGGCTCGATGGCACCGCGGATTCCCCACAGCGGCGAGGGCTCTTTGACAGCGCGTTCCTCCTCCTCCCTCCCGGGTTTCGGCACCAGTGTAACGCAGTTGGATGTTGTGGGAAGAAGGAGGCGGGAACCGGCGAACATTTAAAGACTTTAATGGCGTAAAATAAATCAACAACAAACCGAAAGTAAAGACAGCAGCCCCTCACGGACGACTGCTGTCACATATAATAAAACAAAAGATCAAATTAAAATGTCCAGGCCTGGCCTCTCTCGCTCTTCACAGTCGTCGCTCCTCCATGAGAGATACGAGACCGGTACATCGCGCAGGAAACAGTTTACACGTACATGGTTATTTTGAAAAACTGAGACATTTCCCTTCGTTTACACGCAAGTGGAGAATTCGCCTCTGAAAATGTTTCTTTCTAAAAACTCCAGCCAGAGTGGAGATTTTGGAAAACTTCGTTTTCACGTTTGCATGTAAACTTAGAAAAACTAAGTTTTAGCAAAGCCCGTCTACGGAAAGCCTTGGCACTTCCTATTAGCCCCATTGTGTATCATCTTGGTTGCAGTTCCATTAGAATTCCACTGGAGGTGATCGCGGGCGAGTGCAGAATGAATGTGAGTCGAGCTAAACGGCTAAATGTATCTCTTTCTCCTGCTTGTCGTTGAATCAACATATATTTTATTGTTGATTCCGCAAGTTCAATATAGATTATAGGCCAAAAGTCGAATGAACGAGTACTTATGTCCTTCGATTTCTTACAGGTTAGGCCGTTCTTGGCCGGAACACGCTAGCATTCTGCTATAATGTGACGTCATCACATTTTTGAATGGATTTTTAGAACAGATAAATGATCTTAAAAATGCAATTTTCAGCTGAGTGTATTATCTTAGCCCTCCCTTTTGAATGCAACTTTCAAATTACTTGACAAAAAATTACATCCTGAGAAAAGTGGATTTCTGGGGGTGAAACCCCATAGACTCCGCATGGAAAGAGACGTGTTACTGCAGCCAGTCGAGTAACCGGAAGTAACCAGACAGTGCCAATTCTCTTCAATTAGACATTCTCTGGTTTTAGGCAGCCGACGTCACAGTATGCGACAGAACTTGTAACTGCGTCAAAAGTGCGACCTATGTTTACATGTTTAATTGGCTATGGTGATCATGGATGCATTCAGAGTAGCAGCCGCATTTATGTTGGTGCAAACCCTTTTCGTCTGTTTGCTTTTGCAAATACATACAGCTGCTCTATTATGTCAAGGAGCAGAGACGAATGAGTGCTCGGAGGTCAGCTGTTGTTGCTATTTTCGGGATTCTGATTGGCTTGAGCTTCTCGTTACACTGCCACCTACAGGTTTGGCATGCTCTTGATGGCATATACACGGGTTTGTGTAAACGAACACTTTTCTGAACACTGACAGGTGTGCACAATGTTATTTTTAAAAATGGAGAGAGTGAAATGTCCGTTCATGAAAACAGCTGGCCACGTGTAAACGTAGCCATAGTCGGGTCTCCTTTACGTATAAATCATAAAATCAGACGTGATGTAATGACGCAAAGACTGACAGGGGCAAGCTCGTATTTCGCATGGAAACCTACCAGTACCACTCAAATTAGAACACATTATTACAAGCTTACCGTTGTGAATTGGGCTAAGGTAAGGAGATAGTTTTGAACACTGGCTGGTCCGGCCTACTTGCTCAAAAAATGATTTTGGATCATTTTTAACCAAAAAAAGTTATGGACTGAAGCTTTAAGTAACTTACGTTTTGTAATGCATTACCCCAACACTGGGCTGCATATAGGCCTACTTTTATGTTTAATGGGTTATATCAATTAAAACTAATTTTTTTAAACTAATTCCATAAAAATAATGCCTAAAAAGTTTAATATAATGTGCCTGACAGAAGGTTCCAAATCTTTTCTTCTTAGAGTGTTCTGATTTGAATTTACCTATGCTTGAGTTAGATAATGAAAAACAAATTTTTAAAGATAGCAACAGATGGCATCCAGAGATAACCCCGTTTGAATGGTTTTGTTGTTGTTGAATAGCTGAGCTCACAGGTGTTATCTCAGTATGCACTTCCTGACAACAAATCACACATCATATCCTGACACACCATAAGACAAAACACTTAACATGATCATTATGTTTTGCATTTAACTTGTGTGTAAATATTAAAAACTGCACAAGTCATCTTAAATTAAAATTTTAACCCCATTTTTACCCAAGCAGGAAAATATTTTTGAGCAATATTTATCGTCTATAAACTATATGCAGTAGATGAGCAAATTAATACTCTTGGCTGCTTACACAATATTTTTGAAGTCAGTTGACAAATAATTCATTTATGTATTTTCTGTCATTTAAACGGAAATCAAAAGTCATCAAAACTTCATTCTTAATAAAAAAAAAGCTAATTCCACTCATGTTAGCTCAGCATACCTGAGAAATGTGTCAGATAGCAAACGGAAGAGTCTGACTGGATGAAATCCTTCAGTAGAACTCAGTACTCCCATTTTACTCATGTCTCTTGAAACTACTGAAATTGTTAGTGTATCTGAAAGATGTTTAGCTCCATTTCTTATCATAAATGCCGGTTAGAAGAAAGATAGAAGGCCTCTCATTCGTTTTGTGCTACCCTTAACTGGTTAAACCGGATTCCCAGTCATTCATTCATAGTGGCGAAGGAACTCGGATTCAAGCACTTTACACTCTGTCTGTGGATCCAGAATCATAAACATCAGCTCTGACCATTGTGAGTATTTTCTTGAATATATCTGTTAAATAATATATGCTAGAAAGAAATAAAGAGACTAAACTGGTAAAATAGGGAAGTAAGTCTCAAATACTGAGGGCACATTTCATTCATTAAGTTGTTTTCCATTAAACAGAGCGATGGCTTCAGATGAGAAGCTGTGGGAGAGTCTGAAGGCTGAAATAGAGAAAGAAACCTTTGAACTGAACTCATCACTGAACTGTGAGTTACTGATTCAATACATCAAGTCTGAAACAATTCATTCAAATCAAATCATTCTTATAATCTGTTCTTTAACTGAAAGATATATGAGGTCTAATAAACTAATGAATATTAATATCTTATGTAGCTGAGATTGATGAACTATATGAAAATGTAAGAACAAACTCAATGTCACCAACCCTGCAAGGTAAGCAGAAATGTGAGAACAATAATTATATATATATATATATATATATATATATATATATAATTATTATATATATATATATATATATATATATATATATATATATATATATATATATATATATATAATTATTAATCTGTTCTTTATTTGGTTTAGATATTCAAGACTTAAAAGAAAATTCAAAATCACCCTCCTTGAATGGTAAGCATGATATTAATTACCACTGGCAATCAGGGACATGCAGAGAGTTCCTCGGGCAGGGGCTCATATAAAAAGGGGCATATACACTCACCTAAAGGATTATTAGGAACACCTGTTCAATTTCTCATTAATGCAATTATCTAATCAACCAATCACATGGCAGTTGCTTCAATGCATTTAGGGGTGTGGTCCTGGTCAAGACAATCTCCTGAACTCCAAACTGAATGTCAGAATGGGAAAGAAAGGTGATTTAAGCAATTTTGAGCGTGGCATGGTTGTTGGTGCCAGACGGGCCGGTCTGAGTATTTCACAATCTGCTCAGTTACTGGGATTTTCACGCACAACCATTTCTAGGGTTTACAAAGAATGGTGTGAAAAGGGAAAAACATCCAGTATGTGGCAGTCCTGTGGGCGAAAATGCCTTGTTGATGCTAGAGGTCAGAGGAGAATGGGCCGGGAGTTCTATACGTCTAGTTATTTGATTGTTGTCCCTCCTTTCGGTCAGCAGCAAAGCAAACTATGTGTCCCGTGCTAAGAAGCGAGCAATAGCACTAGTCCTGCTAGTGAGAAGAAGAAAGAGAAACGCCAGGAAGAAGAGGAAGTTCCGACACACACAGTAAGCCGTTTATCCATTTTGATTTCCGCGCTTGTTTGGATGCGGCGGCGCCGCCCGCGCGGGTAATCGTCACAGAGCGCAGCGGCGAAAGTTGAACTTTTTTCAAATTTGATCGCGGCGTGCGTGCGAGCTCGCCAATCGTGCGCTCCGCTGCGCCTGCGCGTGCGATTTGGTCGACGCAGCAACAAACCGTACTCGCGTGGCCCAACTCAAGCCATTGAAATAAATGGGTTTCATATTGCAGCGCATTCCACGTCCTGAAAGGGTACACGTAACGTCTAATTAAGACATATTTGTCTTTACGGCCTTCCATATGGCAACAACACCTCAGACTGACAGATACGTAAAAATAAACGATGAATTTAGGCTACTTTAGTTTTTTACACATTGTCATTAACCCCGCACCTGCCTGCTGGCAATATACTGTATATATTTAAATGAATGAATGTAGGCAGCTACTAAGCAGGTTCAGCGCTATTGTACTTGAGTCTAACTGTGCGTTCACACCGCTGCCGGCGAGTGTCAAAGTGGCCGGGCCGCCATTGTAGCAGACTATCACCTGCTGTTAGCATTCCATTGACTCCCATTCATTTTGGCGTCACTTTGACAGCGAATAACTTTACATCTGAGGTGTCCAAAGACTCCATTTGTCCATTATTTATTTCTTAAGAAACAGGACAATGGATAAAAGGCTCCATTACTTTGTATCTTACGTTATGGCCACGTAGAAGCCTTTTTTGTAAAAATAGGCTAACGATTGCGTCATAACCACGGGACTCTCTGTCGCACAGTAGAGAAATTACCGTAGAGACAGAAGTAGAAGCTCGTAGGCAATCGTTTACTGTCTATGAGGCAATCGGGTGGACATGGAGGCATAAAGACAAGGGAGAAGCCCATAGATAGAGAGTTCATTAAAGCAACGGGACAAAATATTTCAACAACAGATTTGTTTCAGATTTCAATTCAGATTTGTCTCGGCACAGCTACTAGAAGGTCAGAACGGCGGATTGGCGGCAACCGGCGGCAACCAATCGGAATTTAGAATTGCTCCGTTTGAGATAATTCCAGAGAACGCAGTCCTGTAAACTTAGGCCACATTAGTTCCCAAGCAAAATAGAGGAAGTTGATCATTTGAATTTGATAAGAAGGCACGCAACACTATTTATAGGCAAGATTTTCGTGCTAGAACACTTTTTCAGCGGGAATGCAAATTATAATAACACTTAACCATGAACACAAAAGCCTCACCACACAAATGGCTTTTAATTTGTTTATTTCATTAGCAAACATGTCACTGTAATTGTTAATTTGTTTATTTCATTAGCAAACATGTCACTGTAATTGTTAAGTTCTTTCCATCGATCAATTTTCTGCAAAAATAACGATTGACATGCTTGTTTGCTTTGCAGCCCCTTTAAATACAGTTTTAAAAAAGACCACGCATTCGATCTACATCAGAGCATCAGAGCGTCCACGAATCTTTCCACGGCGACGCTGGCAAGGCGGCGAGAGCGAATTTTGCCGCTCTCGCCGGCGGCGGTGTGAACGTATGGTGAAGGAAGCAGACAATAATCATTGCACAAAATCATGAAATCACTCCAATCTGTGCTGTAAATCCAACAAAAACAAGATAAAGAATCAAACACATCAGATCAGAATACCAAGAATGCTCAGAAATGAAACTAAAAAAGGTTTTGCAAAGTCATGTGCTCTTCCAAACTGTTAAACATAGCATTTTAGACATAATAACATTCCTGAGTCCTGATACAATAGGCTTTATGCCCAGCTGCACTACTTCCTGAACTTCAGCCAGCTCCTTGTTTCCTGTCTGACATTATTGGACAAACTGATTAACCCAGGTGTGTCTGGTATTTGTTACTGGTCAGGCACACCTGGATTAATCAGTTTGTCCAATAATGTCAGACAGGAAACAAGGAGCTGGCTGAAGTTCAGGAAGTAGTGCAGCTGTGCATAAAGCCTATTAAACTCTTTTTGAGCAGATCTTAAATACTGAAGAATCGCAGAATGCCTTGCGAGGAGTTTTATGAACATTTTCCAGAATGTCAATTTGAAATATGTATCAGGTGAATTGAGAATGAACTATTTCACCCAGTACTTGAGAGTACTGTTTTTTTATGCTTATTACTCAAAATGCTAACATCAGGTGAATGGTGAATTTAGGTCAGGATGCTCCTTACAAGGCTGTCTATTTAGAAAGTTGACATTGAGGGAGCTTTCTTAGACTTGGAACAATTTACTGTATGTTCTTTCATACTGAATTCGATTACTTGCTTCTCAACCATTGGTGAAGTACGTTCTGCATGCAGTAAGTACGTTCTGCATGCAGTTGGGTTATTTAAAATAACAATCCTTTAAATGTTACTTAGCCTTTAAGTGCAATATTTCAGCTGAAAAAAATAACAACAACATTTTAGCTAGATTATGTTAATTACCTGTCTAGCGATGTTTGTTTATGCTGAAATATAATTTAAAAAAAATTCTCCAAAACATCTATCGTGTGTAGCTATGAGTTGGCTCGCATGACTCATGTGTCGCGCTTCAGAACTTCTGTTAAGAGATCGATGCTCCCTGGTTTTCACGGCGCATATTGTGGGACTTTTTAGGGAGCGAATGTTTCAGTGCCCTGGATTTTGCTAATAAAGTACAAGTTCGGTATTTCACACTTAAAGCCCTGTTTTAAGATCGTTTCTGGTGAAATAGAACGGTTGATTGAAATTTGGACACATGCTGCTGGCCCGAGAATTTTCGGTTTCTGTGGTAGCACCCCCCCACTCCCACAATGGTGGCATAGGTGCACTGGAACAATCCTTCCTAAAACGCATTAAACTTTAGTTTACAAAGACGTGAAACTCACCGAGTGGTCAGGGATGTTCACTGATATGCTCACACAAAAATCGCTGCAAAAGATGCTCGTTGTCTGATGTGCGTTATGTGGGCTAGCTAATTGCTCAATAAAAATAGGCTCATGGTGCAAATTGTGGGTTGACTCCCCACGGTTCTCATGGGCTTTATATAAGTCCTAACGTGAAAAAGCTTTGCGTAGTTTAATGTACCTAAACAACAATCACCAAATTTCTCTCTCATATTGCTACTCATAACAACTGAAACTGTCAAGAAATCAAACCCAAAGTCCAATTATTTTGGACGTTATCTGACATTAAGCGTTTCTGCTTCATTGAGGCTGTAGGAAAAAACTTAACGGTTTAATGTAGCCTACCTAAACAACGATCACCAAATTTCTGGTTAGATTTTTTGACAGTTTTAAGTGGTTATGATGATGAGCAATATGAGAGAGAAATTTGGTGATCGTTGTTTAGGTGGCCAGGAGAAGTGAAGTGAACAGGCACGTCAGCTGAGCTGCACCTGCATCGGTGACATGATGACTGACATCACCCAATCATGTGCGATTCCCACACGGGGGATTCCAATCAAAGTAACAAGTTCCAGTTGTATCCCAATGTTACAGTTGTTGCAATGTTATGAACAGAGAAGCGTGTAGCCAGCGCAGCAGCAGAACGGATACATTGAGCTCGAGGTTTTCAAAAACAAAGTGGTGGGTACAAAATGACTCATGACGAAATCTGGTGGGGGATACAGTACGCGTAGCTGTTGCAGTGCGATGCATCACGTCAACAGTCGCGTCCGGTGTAGACATGGTGTGGCGTAAAAGGTCGCATGAATTCTGATATCAGACCTGTATCCTGTATTGGATTTAGGACCACATATGGAAGTGGCCCAAATCAGAATCAAAAAGATAAGATTCTATGTGGTTTGTGCTGTTTGTGTTTCACTGTACAGTCTGTACACTGACTCTGACTGTCACTGAACAGAACAGCAGATGCAGAGAAGAGAGAGCTGTGAAAGCAGCTGAAAAGCAAAACCTCACGCTTGCAGGAAAATACTGGTGACATTTTTAAAAAAGGTGCTAAGATTCGTCCAAAAAGTCACAAGATTTGTTGGTGGTGTCACGACCGGCTCAAAGCCGTGACAAATGAGTGGAGGACATAGTGAAGTTGGTCAGGTTGTACGTGTATTTATTAACATAAATAGAAAAATATATATAACAGGAAATAAATTACAACACAACTGCCATTTCTGTCTGACAAGCGGTGTTAAGATGTCAGACAGAACTAAGATCAAATCATAGCAAAGGAAAACAAAACAAACCCAACACAAAAAGGTACAGGAGCAAAAGCTCTCACAAGAGTCTTGCAGCTCTGAAGATCTCGAAGCTCACTCCACATTCTCAAAGCCTAAGCTTATATACAGGTGTATATCACTTGATGATCCTACACAGGTGTACATCATTCTCTTGATGAGTCTCCCAGTCACACCCACCGGTCGACACAGCGGGAACAACCGG